TTTTTTTTTTTTTTTTTTTTTTTGAGAGGTTTTTGCTATAGTTTGCGTTTGCTCGCCAGATAGACAGAGAGGGACATAGAGACAGAAAGCGAGAAATCACCCCCCAGGGTGGATGGTCATGCCACAACCCCTTCTCCTCCATTCTCCTCTCGGGATCTTGGGCACGCACGCACACGCACCGGTTCCGGGACGTGAACCATGGTCGACTACGTGGGAGTCCAACAACATAGCCATTACGCTAACAGCTGGTTCCCGCCCCTTCTTTTTTAAAAGAATTATTTCACTTTATTTATTAATTTTTTATTTTTTGGAGAGGTTTTTGCTATAGGGTGCATGAGCTCGCCAGACAGACAGAGACAGAGAGACAGAAAGTGAGAAATCACCGCCCAGGGGGGATGGCCACGCTGCAATCCCTTCTCCTCCCTTCTCCTCTCGGGATCTTGGGCACGCACACACACGCGCCTGGTGTGAGTTTAAGCCACGGGGTCCAGAACTTGAACCGCGGTCGACTACGTGGGAGTCCAGTAACATAGCCATTATGCTAACTGCTGGTCCCACTTTATTTATTTTAATATGAGGGACAGAATGAGAAGGAAAGGGGGGGGTGAAGTGTGAAAATAAGCCAGCAGGTTTGGAATTCACACTGCGGTCAGCCATGTGTCAGTCCAGTGCCCTTAACCACTATGCCATCTGCGGCCCCAGGATCCCTAACTCCTAAGGAGACAGGCCTGGGGTCATAGGATAGGGAGGAGAGCAGAAACAGGCCAGGGGTTCTGACCCTAATCTCTTCTGTTCACAGGTACGAGTTTGGCCCTGCCATCTTTATTGGCTGGGCAGGGTCTGCTCTGGTTCTCCTGGGAGGTGCACTACTCTCTTGCTCCTGTCCTGGGAGTGAGAGCAAAAGTGGGTACCGGGCACCCCGCTCCTACCCCAAGCCTAACTCTGCCAAGGAGTACGTGTGAGCTGGGATCCCCGTGACGCAGCCAGATGGGCTATGGCTGTGCCCAGGTGCCTGAAGGGACTTTGGGGCAGAGAGCTCAGCCTGTGGGCAGGGTGCAGGACAAAGGCCTCCTGGTCACTCCATCTCTGCACACCATGTACAGTTCTCTGGGGGGTTGGGCAGGGGAGACAAAACGGGGAGGGTGTGTTTTTGTACAGTAATAAAAAATGTTTTGGAAAGTAGGTGTTTTTTTCCCTTTAGGGTCTCTGCTTTTGTCCAACCGAGATCTTTACAGGGAATATGGAACCCAAAGTGCACCTACTTTTAGTTAAAAAGAGAGTACTGGGGGGTGCTCGACTGTCCCTGCCTCCCATTTCATTTTCCCCATTATTTTGGCTCCAGTCTCAGCTGATGTAAATACTCGCATGCTTGGCTTCTCTCATCCGCCCCCACTCAGCCCTCAGCTCTTAAATAACTACCAAAGAGTTTCTTTTTCAATAAAAAAAATATTTTATTAGGCATGGGGGTGGTTCCAGTCTCATTGTATTCCCTCATTCCATAGCTTCCTGATCAGAAGCTGTGGCCTCGCTCACAGGCCCGGGCCTCCACAGACACAGGGTCAAACGGGGTAGGGACAGGGTAAGGCCAACACAGCAGAACGATGGTTCCAGGCTCACGGTCTTTCCCTTCCCCCTGCAACTAAAAGTCTAGTCAAGTCTGTCCAGTCAAATATCTAGGTCATCATCCGGGTCTTCTTGATCCAGATCGTCGTAAGCATCTGGCTCAGAGAAGATGTGGCTGGAAGCTGGGCCTGGCCTGCGGTGCAGCAGAGCCTGCTGTCTGAGGAGGGAAGAATTGGTGCTGGTGAGCAGGGTACCAGGGGTCGGGTCTGCATGCCCTCTTCAGGTGAGTCACTCTCACTCAGACAACTTTCTTAGGCCTGTGTCATTTTCTCAGCCCAAGTCCTTTTCTCTCCCATCCAAGTACTAACCAGGCCCAACTCTGCTTAGCTTCTGAGCTCAGATGGGGTTGGGCACATTCAGGTGATTTGGTGTCAGACCCAAGCCCCTTTCCTGACCCCACATTTAGTTCGTGCTGACGCTCCACCTGGTACTGGAATGCATGCTCTTGTAGAGCTTTAACGGTCCTGTGAGCTCTTAGCAGCTTGAGGGCACGGATCCTGCCAGTCTTGCTTCACCCACCCACACACTGGGCACAAAACAGCAGGCATCTACTAAGCCCTTGTTAACCAGCCTTTGCCACACCCATAGAGCTTCCTGTCCTACTGTTGCCTGGAGACAGGGCCATCTCCCCAGGGTCTGGTCAGGCCGGCCCAGGCCCAGATTGCTGTAGAAACAGTGGGAATGGGACGTAAGGCTTTAGTGGAGAGGGACATATGGGGTGTCGGCCCCTGTGGGTATATGGGTGGGCAGAGCACCACTCCCTGGACTCTAGAGATGGACTTCAGCCCCTATAAAGTCTGAGAAGTTAACCAATAACCTGCTGCGGCCCCACCTCTCTGGCCCAGATGCTGGGCTCTACACAGCCAGCCAGCACCCAGGACCCAACCTTACTTTTCAGAGCTGAACTGGAAAGGCAGAGTCAGGCTGTCTCTGGCTTCTCTCTCCTTCTCGGACAAGTGAAGGTTAAAGGTCAAATGAGCCATAGGATCCACCTGTAGGTACAAAGGATGCTGTAACTGTCACCCAGCCCAGGTGCCCAGCCCCATACCAACCCAACCTCTGAGGTTTTTACTCTCTTTTTGCCAGACCCTAAGCTCCCTTCTCTTGTTCCGGCCCCGGCACCCTTAGATACCAAGTGTGTGTGAGGATCTGGATGCAGCTGGGACTCTAGGAGGGGGCCCTCTTGAAGATCCAGGCTGAAGTCAGGAAGGATGGAGAACCAGTGAGTCTGGGGAGAAGAAAGGAGAGTTCGAAGGTTTTTTCCCATCTTACTGAATAAACTAGAGAGCATTCAGGACCTCATTCCTTCAGTCCCCAATCGCCTATGTAGTGGGCTGCTTTTTGCCCCTGCCCTCACTCCTAACCCCTCCTTTAAGTCTGTGTTCTTGTTCTTCCTCCTAGTAGCCACCACTTGTCTTTTTAAAACCCTTTTCCATTTCCTGGAAGACAGTACCTTTCATTGGTTAAACTCTCAGGCTCTGAGTCAGGCAATCTTTTATTTATTTATTTTTTATGGTTCTTCCTTCCCCCTTTTCATTTTTTTAAAATTGCCATAGGGTGTGTGTACTCACTGGAGAGTGAGCAAGAGCGCCCCTCCCTCCCCCAAACAGGGCAATTTCACTGCAATCTCTCTTCCTCTACTCCTTCCTCCTATGGTGACTTTGGGCATGTCCGCACAGGTGCACCGTGTGTTTTTTTCAAGCTGTCATGGCTGGCTTAAGCCAGGCAATCCTGAATTCAAATCCTGACTCTGTCACTTGTTCTTCATAACCTTGGAAAAACACTTAAATTCAAACCTCCCTGCACTAGTTTCCCAGCCTGCAGAATGGGGCTAATAAAACAATCACCTTGTAGGGTAGCTGTGATTAAACAAGGTAAATGACAGGACACACAGGGAAGCCGTCAATCACACATTGTCTGTTTTTAAAGTTTTGCTATAGATGTGTGTGCTTATCTGAGACAGACAGAGGGGAAGTGAGCAATCAGCCCCCTGAGGGGATGGTCACACTACAAGTCCCTTTTCCATTCTCCTTTTGGGCACACATGCACAGTGTCATTTTCAAGCCACTGGGTCTAAGACTAGAACTGTGGGATCCAGCCGCCTTAACCTCCACGCCACCTGCTGGCCCAACACACCAGCCTTTTTATTGCTCCTATCCTGCCACCCCTCTCTGATCCCATCTCCAGGCCTCCCATTTTTTTCTCTTGACCTTATTAGTTGGGCGCTGTTGGGGCCTCCGATGAAGGACGTGGGCCGAGGCCTGGCCCGCTGTACCACCCAAGGTCACTTCAGCCTGAGCTAAGCTGCTCAGTGCTCCCACAGGGCCTGGGCCATGAAGCTCTTCATGTAGCAGGCCCAGCACATGCACCTGTTCCGCTGGAGTGCTGGCACCTGGAGGAGGACAAGAACAGTCAGGTGCAGGGGACAGATGGTGTAGTGGTAAAATGCAATGGTCAGTGAGGCAATCCCATTCCTGGTTAGAGTCTGGAGACCTTGAGTACACCAGGCACACGGCTTGTCCCCACGATACTGGCTGGCTGAGGGCTGGGACGGATCCCAGCATCAAGAACCAAGTGGGGGTGCTTTTTCTTTTGCTGTCTTATGGAAGAAATAAACTAAAAGAAATGTAGGGCATAAAGACAGTCTGGAACGTTCAGGTGGAGGCCCAGGAGGAAACAGTAAAGAGAAAAGGAAGGACCATGTTCCATCACAACTGTCACAACCCTGACGTGGCCTGTCTTAACTCTGCTGCTCTGAGCCTCTTCCAGGCAAACCTAATACATTGCTTTTATTCCACTGTAAATCTGACCAAGGCACTGCTCTGACTTCAGTCCTGAAGCAGTTAGCTCCTAGCTCCTCATGGCCTTCAGGATGGAATGAACATGTTCAGCTTCTGGTGTCTATCAACTTTCTAGTCTTCTCTCTTTCACAATGAACTACTTCCAATTTTTTGAACTTGCCAAGCTCTTAGTAAATGTCTGATTCCACTTGGGGAACAATTACAGAGCTCCACGTATTGCACTAAACACTTAGTGAATTTTATCTTTACAAAGATCAGCATTTTTTGAACTGAAGTTTGCTGATATTTGACATTTCTGACCTTTAAAAATGCAACCTTGGGGACCAAGTTGCAGTTGGTGTAATGGTCATGTTCCCAGACTCCCATGTAGTTGACTGCTTTTTGAGTCCCAGACCCAGCGGCTTAAACTCACACCAGGCACATGTGCATATGTGCCCAAGATCCCAAGAGAAGAATGGAGAAGGGATTGCAGCATGGCCATCGTCTCTGGGGGGTGACTTCTCACTGTCTCTCTCTCTTTGGCAAGTGCAGTGCCAGGAGGGGCCTGAAGGCTGCATAGCCAGAGAGCATTCAGGACCGTACTCCTTCAGTCTCCAATCACCTATGTAGCAGGCTGCCTTTTGCCCCTGCCCTCACTCCTAACCCCTCCTCTAAGTCTCTCTGTGCTATTGTTCCTCCTCTTAGCAGCCACCACTGCTCTTTTCAAAATCCTTTTCCAGGACCATCAGATGGCATAGCGATTAGGTCTCTGGACTCCCAGATGGCTGACCCAGTGGCTTAAAACTCACACTGGGCATGTGCTTGTACCCAAGATCCCAGAAGGAGAAGGGATTGATTGTAGCATGGCCATCCCTCCCCCAGGGATGATTTCTCACCTTCCCTCTCACTGTCTCTGTCTCTCTCTCCAGGAAGTGCATATATCCTAAGGCAAAAACCTCTTAAAAAAACAAACAAGGGACCAGCAGTTGGCATAATGGCTATGTCACTGGACTCCCATGTAGTTGACTACGATTAGAGTCCTGGATCTGGTGGCTTAAACGCATGTCGGGCGCGTGTGCATGCATGCCCAAAATCCTAAGAGGAGAATGGAGGAGAAGGGATTGCGGGGTGGCCATCTCCCCGGGGGGTGATTTCTCGTTTTCTCTCTGTCTTTCTGGCGAGCACACATGCCCTATAGCAAAAACCTCTCTTTAAAAAAAAAAATGGGGCCAGCAGATGGCATGGTGGTTAAGGCACTGGACACTCCCACATACAAACCATGGTTCGAATCCCAGACCTGGTGGCTTGCTTTCTGACTTTCTGTTTTTCTGTGTGTCTGTTTTTCTCTGGTCAAATGAAAATAAATGAATGAATAAATTAAAATTAAAAATCAAACCAACAGAAAACTCCTTTCCATTTCCTGGAAGACAGTACCTTTCACTGGTTAAGCTCTCAGGCTCTGAGTCAGGCAATCTTTTATTTATTTATTTTCCTCTGCCCTTTTTTTTTTTTTTTTAAATTGCCATAGGGTGTGCGCACGCACTAGAGAGTGAGCAAGAGCTGCTTGCCCTCCCCTAAGCAGGGCAGTCTCGCTGCAATCCCTCTTCCTCCTGGCGGCCTGCTCTCTCACCTTCTCTCTCTGGTGAGCATGTGTGCCCTGTAGCAAATTTTAAAATAATGATAAATAAATTAAATAATTTTTTTTTTTAAAGTCTCTCTCTTGGGACCAGCAGATGGTGCAATAGTTATGACGCTGGATTCCCACACAGTTGACTACAGTTCGAGTCCCAGACCCAGCGGCTTAACCTCACGCCAGGTGCGTGTGTGTGCATGCCCAAATCCCAAGAGGAGAGTGGAAGAGACTGTGATGTGGTCATACCCTGGGAGGTGATTTTTCACTCTGTCTCTCTCCATACACTCAATGTGCCCTGCAGGAGAAAAAAAAAAAAAAGGCAAAAAATCCATTCTCGTAAACGCAGTACACATCAGGGGTAGTCTTTTCCTTCATCTTTAAAGAGCATTTATTTGTCTACTTTCTGTTGTGATTTTCAGGTTGCCGGGTCCAATACACCACTTGGCCATATGGGAATCTAGCACCTTAACCACAATGCCACCTGCTGGCCAGTAGTTTTTTTGGAGGGGAGAGATTTTTGCTGTAGGGCACATGTGCTAGCCATAGAGATAAGACAGAAAGCAAGAAATCACCGCCCTGGGGAATGGCCATGCAGCAATCCCTTCTCCGTTTTCCTCCTGGGATCTTGGGATTGGGCATGGATGCACATATACTGATGTGAGTTTGAAATTACAAGGTCCGGGACTCACACTGGCAGTTAGCCATATGGGAGTCCAATGATGTAACTGCTATGCCATCTGCTGGACCTAGGGGCAGCCTTTTTTTTCTTTTTTTTAAATCTTTATAGAGTTTTTACTTTTTTTTTTTTTTGAGAGATCTTTGTTATAGGGTGTGTGTGCTCACTGTAGAGAAAGAGAAATAGAAAGCAAGAAATCACCCCTCAGGGGAGACGGCCACTGCAATCTCTTCTCCTCCATTCTCCTCTTAGACACACATGCCTGCTACGTAGGTGATTGGGGACTGAAGACATGCAGTCCTAAATGCTCTCTGGCTATGCAGCCTGCAGGCCCAACCTGAACTTTAAGCAGCCAAGTTCAGGATTTGAACCGTAGTCCATCAACTACGTGGGAGTCCAGCCACATAATTATCACGCCATCTGGGGTCTCCCTCAGGAGTAGTCTTAAAATATCCTGTCAGTCCGAATTTGCTTGGCTGATCCTTAGCTCGTCAAGACAATTTCTTCCTTAAGTTACCCAAAGCACGTCCCTATGTCATGGCCCTTATCTGACGATCTCTAAAACTGCATGTTTACTTGTCTATATCATGTATGGGACTTTGAACTCCTGGAAGGCAAGGACTCAACTTTATCTTTCCATTATCTGGAATTACACTTGACATATTTTGTGTTTGTAACATTTGCTGAATAAACAAATGAAATGAATGAGTGAAAAAAAACTTGAGGGCCAGCCTGTGGTGTGGTGGTTAAGGTGGCTGGATCCCACATGGCTATGTGGTTTGAGGCCTAGACCTGGTGGCTTGAGAAAAACATGGCAGAAGCACGTATGTGCGTGCTCAAAATCCTGAGAGAAGAACGGAGGAAAAGGGATAGTGGCATGACCATCTCCCCTGGGGGAAAACTTCTCATTCCCGCCCTCACACCCTCACTCCCATATCTCTTGGAGTACGTTCCCTATAGCAAATTAAAAAAAACTTGAAAGATGAGGCACAGTAGCATGAGCTAGAGACACTGCTGTTCCACAGGTGGATACCGCACGGGAGGCCCAGGTTCAATTCCTGGCCCACCCTGTAAATATTTAGGTGTGGTGATGTGCACCTGTAGTCCCAGCCACTCGGAAGGTTGAGGAAGGATGACCGTGATGTAGTAAGAATCTATGTGAAAATAACAACACACATATGTGCACACATGAAAGATGAAGGAAAAAAATGACTGGTGGGTAATATCATGAAAAATTAAAAAAAAAACACAAAAAACGGGGAGGGGGCCCAGCTGTTAGTGTAATGGCTATGTCACTGGACTCCCATGTAGTTGACCGCGGTTCATGTCCCAGACCCGGTGGCTTAAAACTCACGCTGGGCACGTGCGTGCCCAAGATCCCGAGAGGAGAACGGAGGAGAAGGGATTGCGGCATGGTCGTCCCCACTGCGGGGTGATTTCTCACTTTCTGTTTCTCTGTCTCTGTCTGGCAAGCGCACGCGCCCTATAGCAAAAAAAAACCTCTCCAAAAAACAAACAAACAAAAAAAAACCAGGGACCAGCAGATGGGATAGTGGTTACGTCACTGGACTCCCTCCCACATGGCCAACCATGGCTCCAGTCCTGAACCTAGTGGCTTAAAACTCACACTGGGCATATGTGCACGCATGTCCGAGATCCCTGGAGAAGGGATTCTGGGATGGCCATTCCCCCAGGGAAGTGACTTCACACTTTCCCTCTGTTTGTATCTTCCTCTTTGACAAGCACATGCACTCTATGACGAAAACTCTAAAAAAAAAAACAAAACACCACACACAACAAAAAAGTAAAAAACTAAAGAAAAGGGCTGGCAAATGGCATGGTGGTTAAGAGCACTGGATTCCTATATGGCCAACTGCAGTTCGAGTCCCGGACCTGGTGGCTTGCTTTCTCACTTTCCCTTTCTTTCTCTGGTCAAATTAAAAATAATAACAAATGGAAATTTTTAAAAAAGTAAATTAAAAAAAATGTTAAAGAGATGAAAAAAGGTCTTAGTAGAAATCTCTTAAGTTTTCTTTTTAGGGTGAAATGGAAAGAGCCACATTCCTTGGCAGAGGAAAACGTGTAAGGGGAAGCACACAAAGAAAAGGTCTCACCAGGGCAGGAGCCCTGAGGGCTCAGAGTGTGCAGGGTCTGGCAGAGTGTGGTGCAGGGAAGGTGAAGTAATAGCCAGCTGAGTGAATCAAGAGCAATGGTGGCAGGGCCAGGAGCTGTCCTCCTACACACGGCTCTCAAGGCTGCCAGGGGTCCTGCAGGAAAGGCCTCCCCAGTTTTTGACCAGTTGAGAGGGTCTCTGAAGAAATCATGGTACACCACCCTGCAAAGAGAAAATAGGAGAAAATATGATACTGTTCCTTTCTAACCTCAAATATCATCCTCTAATCTTTTTTCTTTTTTTGAAAAAATTGACAGGGGGGCTAGCAGGGTGCTAGACATTCCCACATAGCTGACCACGGTTCAAGTCCTGGACCTGGTAGCGTGCTTTCTCACTTTCCTTCTTTCTGTGTGTCTGTCTTTCTCTGGTGAAATTAAGATAAATGAACTAATAAAGAAATTCTTAAAAAAAAAAAAAAAAGTGACAGGACTAGCAGTTGGCGTAACGGCTATGTTTTTGCACTCCCATGTAGTTGACTATGATTCGAGTCCCGGACCTGGTGGCTTAAACTCATGCCAAGTGCGTGCATCCCCAAGATCCTAAGAGGAGTATGAAGGAGAAGGGACTGCGGTGTGGCCATCCCTTCCCCCGGGGGGGTGATTTCTCGCTTTCGGTCTGTCTTCCTGGCAAGCACATATGCCCTACGGCCAAAACCTCTCCAAAAAAAAAAAAAAAGAATTATATTATTTCCCTTTATTTATTTTTTTTTTTTTTTAATTTGACCAAAGAGGGACAGAGTGAGAGTGAAACTAAGTGTGTGTGTGTGTGAGAGAGAGAGAGAGAGAGAGAGAGAGAGAGAGAGAGAAAGCAAGAAAGCAAGCTGCCAGGTTTGGGACTCGAACTGCATTCAGCCATATTGGGGAGTCCAACACCCCTAGCTATGCAACCTGCCGGCTCCTCATCCTCTAATCCTTACAGCTGTTTCCTTGATTTTCACTAATATCCTAAATACAGGAAGCATCCCTAATCCAAACATCCAAAATCTAGCTCCAAGACTAACTTTGTTCCCTGTGTATGGTCACCTAACTGAAAAATTACTTAGATGACTTCTACATTTATGAAAGAGGGATGTCAACTTCTTGACACCTGGCACAGTGCCCAGCACATACCAAATGCTTGATAAGTGTTAGCTATCACCATTATAATTTTTGCTGAACGGTACCTAAAATTTATTATTCTCTGGATGGATAAAGAGAAAGTAGAGAACTGGGACATGGTTCCTGCCTGTAGAATGCCTGAAAAAATGTCAAGAATTAACTAACTGCAGACAAAAGTGACAGCTCAGGAGAGGAAGTTTGGCATAAGCTACAGATTCTGGGAAAGCTTCATGGTTGCAGAATGCTTGTTTCCAGACATCTTTCTAAAAACCTTCTGATTCCCTAGTGAATGCCATCTAATACAGCACCACCTCTATCCCACAATGGATGATATAAAATTAGAGCTCAACAGACAGATGCAAACTATTATTAGTCACTGAGCTGCCCAGACTAGAAGTACAAAGCATTCTATTAATGGTTCTTAATCTCTACTAACCAGGCAGATTCAAGAACCATCTTATCTGAATTCTTTCTTCTATCTCACATCAGTTAATAAGACCCGGGAATTCTACCTATTAAGGTCCTTTTATATTTGTTCTGAACACTCCAACCTACTGCCGCTGCCTTAAGCCAGGCCTCTGTCACCTTATCTAAGATTTATTAGGGGAGGGCACAGGTCTGTCTCATTCACTGCTATGTCTCCAGTGCCCAGCACAGCCTCTGCTTTACAAGCTGTGTCCTGTTCCTAGATACCTAATGATTACTGCAATAGTCTTCACTCCTGATCTGTTTCCAGGCTGTGCCTTTCCAATCCATTCCCCATATGGCAGGGACTGGATTAGTGTTTCTTTCTTTTCTTTTCAAGAATTATTTAATTTTATTTATAATTATTATTAATTTGCTACACAGCATGTGCATTCACCAGAAAGAGACGAAGAGTGAGAGGGAAAGTGAGAAAGCAAGCTGCCAGGTCCAACTTGAACACGATCGGCCATGTTGGAGTCCAGTGCCTTAACCACTGCATCACCTGCTGGCCCCTGGACTAGTTTTTCTAAAAGGTACACATTGGGCCTCAGAAAAGCCATGACGCATTTTTGCATGTAAAAACAGAAAAGTACATCATAATTTTCCTGATGACCTAATATAATCACTCTCCCTCCAAATTTTTAGATGATTCCTCCATTGCCTTTATGATAACATCTAAACTTGTCATGATCTTTTTTTATTATTTTATTATTATTATTATTATTATTATTATGCTATATGTGTACTTGAAGAGACAGACAGACACAGTGAGAATGAAAGTAAGAAATCAACCCCCCAGGGGAGATGGTCACACAATCCCTTCTCCTCTTGGGATTTTAGGCACACACATGTGCCTGGTGAGATTTCCAAATTGTCAGCCCAGGACTTGAACTGTAGAGTTGGCTATGTGAGATATGATAATTTAACCTTCTGGGCCTTTTACAACCAGGTAACTCTACAGGCCTGACCTCAGACTATCTCAGGAAACTCTTCCACTCCCATGAATAGGTATGCCTTATCATACCTCCCTAAATTTGCACACGGTGTCTCTCAGTCTCTGAGACAGTTCCTCAACAGCTTGTAGGCTGTACTGATGCAAGTTTGGAATCCATATCTGAATCATGCACCAGATTCTTAATTACTCAAAAGACAGAACGTGCTTATTCTTATCCTCCAGGACAGCCTCTAATCCCTAAACTGTACTATCTGCTTTTTATTACTATTTCTGTTTCAACTTTTTTTTTTTGAGATTTTCACTGTAGGGCGCGTGCACTCGCCAGACAGACAGAGACATAGAGACAGAAAGCGAGAAATCACCCCCCAAGGGGGATGGTCACGCCGCAATCCCTTCTCCTCCATTCTCCTCTCGGGATCTTGGGCACGCACACGCGCCCGGCGTGAGTTTTAAGCCACCGGGTCCGGGACATGAACCGCGGTCGACTACGTGGGAGTCCAGCGACATAGCCATTACGCTAACTGCTGGTTCCCTGTTTCAACTTTTACAGTGTGCTTTCATTCAACAAATGGGCATCATTCACCATTACTCCTTCCAGGAGTCGAGAAATATTCATTCTATCAATGAATATTTAAGTAGCTGCCTTTACTACATACCAGGTCTTGCACTTACTTGTAGAGGATGTCCCTTAGCGACAGAGGTTCCACATCTAAGGAAATCGCCTCCAATTTGTACATACCGGCTGTTGATCTCGGGGTCAAAACCTTCACGAAACTCTTCCTCGCTCACTTCACAGCCCAGGACGTGGACTTGCTCCCCACTAAGTGAGATAAGAGGGCCGTGTCAAAGAGTGGGGTACAGACTCCCTTCCCAGGGCAGGGCGGGGAGACGCAGCGTGATACGCACCGCAGTGCAGATTTCTTGATAAGCACCTTCAGGAGACTGCGCCCCTCCCACTCCACAGAATCTGGGAACAAGGGACAGACAAACAGTGTGAAAATACTACAGTTTCCGCCGTCACGAACCGCTCGCGACTTCCACTCGTAGCCTATGATCCACAGCACCCTTCCTCTCCAAAAAACTTTCCCTAAGCCAGGGCCTCACCGCGAAGCAGCACCAGGCCGCCTAGGGCCAACAGCGACTCCAACATCCCCTACTTGCGTCGGGTCCCTACTCAGGCGCCCTCTGATGGCGTCACGGCCCTTGACCCGCCCCTCCGGCTAGGGGGGCGGGGCATGTGAGGATCCTCCCACCACTAAAACAGGGCAGTCTGGAATGAAAGGTGATCCTGTTCAAAATTCCCAGGCAGGGCTCGCACGGAAGGGTCCCTCCCTACCCTGGCGCGGAGACGTAGGAACTACGCCCTAGTCACATATTCACCAAGACGGGGGCAGGAAGAGCCGTTGGGGCAGTTGTCAGGGGGAGGGGTGAAGGCTACACGAGCCCCCTTGGAAGGTCCAACGTCGGCGGCAAGTGACGTCACGCCGCCCCACCTACGCCCTCTGAGGCGGAGCTTGCCCCCCGGACTCCACCCCGCGGCCTGTTTCCCCGCGCGTGCGCAACACTGCAGCCTTGTTCGGAGCGCGCAGATTTCCTTCTCCCTACTCCCATAGACCGAGTAGAGGGAGCATCAGTCCGGGTGAAGCGAATACACGTCACCACCGGAAGCAGTGTCAGAAGGGAAGAGGAGGGGGGAAGAAAGGAGGAGGGAGCCCTCAGGGCGGTAAAATGGCGCCTGTCAGAGTGGGAAATCCAGCTGCAGAGGCTGCAGCCCCGCTCTCCAGCGGCTAAAGGAACCCAGACCTCGGGGAGGGGGAGGCCGCTCCGGCTCTGCGCTCCGCGCCCCTCGGCTCCCCCCCCCCCCCCC